AACTTAGCTAAATAAAAGCTTTTATTATGAACCCCGATTTATTTTTTTAAATCAATTTGTTTAAAATAGTTTAAACAATTTGAAAAAGTTCATTTTTTTTTGCCACGGCACTGCCTCAGAAACGTGATAGACATATCACAAGGGGCCCACAAATAAAGTAAAAACATTTGTAGTGGGCTTCCGTCATAGCGGACTACCAAAGCTAAAATTTAAGCTTTACGCAGTCATGGACTTGAATGTGTGTAGAACACCTGACAATGTATTAATAACATATGGTTACCAAAGTCTGATAGATATGAGCCCTACACAACTTAAAGATATCTTTGCAATATCAGGGTAACGGATAAAATAACCCCAAGTTTAATAACAAATGTACTGATAAAAAAAGTTAAGCTTACGGAATGTCGGCGGTGCTACTCAGGTACCAGTTCGTGCCTAAAATAATGCACAGAAGGGCAACTGAGGTCTTCTTCCACTAATAAAGCTTGAAAGTCGCCATTTAACCTATTCTGTAATGGTGTGACATGGCAGATCAAAAAATCGCGATTCATCGGGGCTATACGCTGTCATTATCCGGATTATTATTATTCATTAGCCAAAGTTTTTACGAATGAAACATACGGGCATTTCAAAATGGAAGACGAGAATTGAAATTATTAAAACAATAAAAGTTTCAATAATTTGTACCAGAAATTAATGATTGCATCATTGATGGTGGTAAATGATTGATATTTAACTGATAACCTGATTAAACTTTTTTATATTAGCATACATTTGCATTAGATATCATTTTACACGTGTAAATTTACAAACCGAAATTTTTCGAACGTGTGTAAAAATGAAACACTAAATTTCATTTTTATAACATCTTGTCCATGTATCAAAGTGAATCATTTTTTTTTAAATTAGCGATTCTTGTATGAATGTTCGGAAGCCCTGGAGGGACATTTATTATTTAAAAATTACTACTTATTAACTACCATTATAACTTATTACTTATTATTTACAGATAAATACTTTATTTAGTATTGAAACGCGCCATGTTTGGCAGGTAAAAACTATGTTTACATCATTACAATTAGCGAAAAAGATGAAGGAGAACATCATTTGTAGCAGGTCATATATTACAGAAGCCCTGATAGGAAAATTATTATTAACTTATTTTTTATTACTTAATATGTTTGTCATAATTATCAATTATAACATATTACTTATTATCTATAACTTATTATTTATCCCTTTTTCCAGTCGTATATCTCATTTAAAATCTATGTATGTTGTAGTCTGATTATATAATGTATGCAATATATATGTTTAAAATATAAATACTTCTTAAATTATTATGTTACTAAGATATATTCGACTGAAATAACTTATAAGTATATATACTTAATATATTATTATTGATAATTATTTTAAACATATTAAGTAATAAATATTAAGTAATTAATAATAATTTTCCTTCCAGGGCTTCGGTGTTTTATGACCTTCTATAAATGATGTTCTCCTTCATCTTTTTCTTCATGGTAACAGAGTTTTTCCTGCCAAACATGGCGAGTTTCAATACTAAATATAGTAATAATCTGTAATAATAAATAATAAGTTATAAATGATAGGTTAAGTAATAATTTAAATAATAATGTCTCTCCAGGGCTTCGTACAATTATGCATGTCAAACAAATATTTAAGATCAGTAAAAACTAGAAAAAGGGGAAACATTGGAATGATACGTTTCTATATTCACTTACTTTTAAATAATTTTTGAAATGCGATTATATAATAAATATTCGTTAGGAGAACATTGTAATACGGTGGTTTAACAATTATATTATACAATATTTATAAACAGATGATTTTGTGACATAGTTTTTACATTCATTTATATATTGTTATTTTCTCATCCTTGTCACTAGGTAGAAAACCTGAACGAAAAGTGTATACCTAAAACAGATTAGGTCTTCCCGCGGAGTATGGTTTAGAAAATGAGTAAAGAAGAATAATATGAAAATATTATGTTTTTTTCCATATTTTCACTTTTGATTAAATCATAGTTTTTTAGAGTTTTTAAAAACACCAGGGGAAAAAGGTTTTACCCAAAATTTAAAATTTTAAACCCACAATTCCAAGTCTCCTAATGAAATAGTTTTCGACATATTTCTTTTATTTATTAAAAAATTCTTTAAAATGAAATTAATATTTGAAAACCAAACCCCAAAAAGACCCCCTTTTCCCCAATGTTTTAAAAAGGTAACTGCTTTTTAATATACCAAACATATGTTAAAAAATTTTTATTTCCCCCTTTAAAAGAAGAGTTTAGTTTTTTTCCTGGAAAAGAAAATTTTTTTTAAAAATACACAATTACTTTATTACGTAAAAAGTTTTTAAAAAAAATAAAAAGAAAAAATCACCCAAAGAATGTTTTCCGCCAAACCTTATCATGGCCCGGGAACACAACCAGAGCACGCCCTTGGGGGTTTAGAAGCTCCAAACCCGCCCTTCCTGCGGCAAACGCCCCGTTTTCCTGACCATGAAATTTTGCGCCCCCCAACCCTCGCCCCCAAAATAAAGGTCCGGAGTAAAGGATTCCCCCCCGGACTTCACGTTGAGTCAAAATGTTTTGGGGACAGCCCCCAAAAATCTAAATATTTTAAATTTAATGTTGTATGTTATGTAAAAAAAAAATTACATGTAATTTTTTTTAAAATTTAAAAAAATTTTTTTTTACCACACTTTCCCAAAAACACCCTAATGAGAGCAAATATCTTTCTAAAAAAAACACCTACATCATATCCCCCCTTTCAAATTTCGGGTTTGGTATTACGTTTTATTTTTTATAAGTTTTGTTAGGGAACATTCAAATCTCTTTTTGTTTAATTTTTGATTTTTAAGGGGTATATTCAAAAAATTTAATTAAAATTTGGAGCTGTAAAAGATAAGGAGACCTCTATTATTTAGATTTTCCCAGTTACAGTTGGGACTATTGGATTTTTATTTTGTTACTTTCGATGAAAAACTGACTTTATTATGAAAATTTTGTATATTGGGGTTTTTGGGTTTTATACCTCCCAGTGTAAATTTATTTTTTGCAAAAAAGAAAAAAAAAATTTAATGTTTCTTTCCGGGTTTTTCTTTGCTTTCAGTTATCCCAAAAAAAAAACTTTTTTTCTTTGGGGAGTTCATAATTTTAAATATTTGGGAAAAATTTAGATTTAATGAATTTTTTTTAAAGTCTGCCAAATTTGACTCATACACTTTTCAAAAAAAATTAAAGTGTTTCGTTTTTTTTCCCTCAAAAAGCCCCCCGCTTGCATCTTTTATTCCAATTTTTTTAGTTAAAAAAAAATCTTTTGCGGGATTCTTTTTATTAATTTTTGTAGGGAATTTTTTAAGTAAAAACCGACTTTAATTTTGAAAACATTGTAAAAAACTTTTTTCCTTCAAAAGGGTTTTCGGGTAATAAAAGTCATGTTTCCATTTATCTTGAGATGTTGGGTGTTGTTTTTTTTATTGTTTACTAATATTACAGAAATGTGATGACAACCTTTTATGTTTTGTGTGATAACTTAATTCTGTTTCGGAATGTGATTGGTTTCAAAGTATTAAATTGTTCAGTACATATTTCATGTTTAACATGTTTAAGTTGAAATCGTGAATTCATGAAGTTGAAATCGTGAATTCGTGAAGTTAAAATCGTAATTTCAAGAAGTAGAAATCGTGAATTTACGAAGTTGAAATCGTGAGTTCATGAAGTTGAAATCGTGAATTCATGAAGTTGAAATCGTGAATTCCTACCGCAAATCACTTGACACCAGCTGTTGTGAAGTATAAAAACCTGGAAACAAAGTATTCCCTCGGAAGCATGATTCATAACAAAATTACATGAAAATTGCAGACTCAGTTTGATTGAGTTTGTATGTTTGAGTCTATATCAAAGTATATTTTGGGATTGGAAGAAAGCTATAAAGGTTATAAATGTCCTCTCCCTATCCAAAACTAATTTGAAGATCATGTATGTGATGAAGATTAAATACATAATAATGATTGAAGCGAAGTTGATTTTGAAGATGATGATAATAGATGTGAAAAGTGTTTCTTTTTATGATTCAGTTTGATTATTTTAATTATGATGGAGATGATGAAAATTTTGACTTTGATTATAAGTATGATGATGATGATGATGATGATGATGGTGATGATGATGATTGGTTTGATTATCATGATAGAGGTGATCATATCAATTCCTAACATGATGATGATGATGAAGGATATGATGATTTTCATGATGATGAACGTTAAAAAGATTGAATATTGGTGATAGCGATGATGAAAATTGTTATGATTTTGATTTTTATAATGATGACGACGTTGTTATTTTATTTACCAGTTTCATGACGGAGAGCTTTATCAGGCCTAGGGAGGGATAAGTTTTTATTCGAGGGAAAGTCTTTAAAACTCCCGGGGGGTTTATTCCTCTTTTTTGAATATTACTATCATTTGGGGCTCCGGGCAAATTTAAAAATTTTCCCGTTCGTTATTTTCTACCATAGCGCCCACACGAATGGGCTTTTACGTTTAAAAAAAAACCATTTCAAACCCAATTTTGTTTTTGTACGAAAATTTCATTTCCCTTTTACAAAAAACTGGGAAAACATTCCATTTTTAAAAGGGGGGGCGCGCTTTTTGGGGCGGAACCCCTAATCCAAAAATGACCCGGAAAAACTATATATTTGTCTATATAGAGTGAATAGCATTCATAAATATATACACTACTGAGCTTATTTTCAAATTGGCGAGCAATAAATGATTGGGTCTCCCTTCTTAAGGTAAATGTTTTCATGAAAACAAATACTTTGTTTTTTAGAGCCTTCCTATAAACAATTGAAATTTTTTTTTTTTTTAAAAAAAAAAAAAAAAAAACAACATTCACTATGCTTATGTTTTCCCCTTTTCATAATTATTTTAGATTAGAAAAAAAAAGGTATATGATTTTAAAATGTTTTTTTTAATAATTTTTAAAAAGGGACAACTATCATTCACTATCATTCGAACGTTCCCTACATGATTATATTTCAGCCGTATTAGTATAAAAATACCCGGGGGAATAAAAAGTTTTCCCCTTTAGGACAGTGTGAAAGTTCGGAAGGTAGAATTTTGCAAATTTGGGGGGCACCCAAATTATTTTTTTGAAGAAGAATTTTTAAAAAAATGTTAAATTCATACACAATTTGCTTCCAAAAATATAAAACTTGATAAGTGAATGTTCTTTTATGTTTTTTTTTCTGATTTTATATAAGTGATGTAATACTGTTTTGGGGGGACGGTAAGGGGATTATTTTCCCTTTCAATTAAAACTTGGTTATTATAAAAAATTACTTTTTTACCCAACACATACCCGGTAGTTAAAATATTTTTATCAGCTTTTTCTTTTACCATTTTACAGGGATAGGACTGTAACGCCAGCATTTTTTAAAAAACAAGCGGGTCATTGAGTGAAAGATTAATTTTTTAAATTTTCATCCGTGCAGGTATGGATATACTTCCAAAAAATTTTTAAAGGAAGAATAAACATATTTTAGTTTTTCGAATCTTGATTACCTAGATGCAACTATAGCTTAACGGTTCAAACACATTTGTTTTCCCCGAAGGTTATCTCGTAATTTTGATAGAAAGTCACATCGTCTTGTGTATCATGTATGATACACTGAATGTTGTTTATTCAGTACAACAGAAGATGTCCACAATGACCTTATACCATACCATTTTAAAGGTATGAATAAATTCGCACTGTTTCTATATCAGATGAATACAAAATTCCCCCAAAAATTCTCGCCATTTTTTCAATATAGGGTTTATTTCATCGAACCCCTTTAGCATTTTTTGATGTGGGGGTTTTGGGAAAAAAAAAAAAAAAATAGATAACGTTTTTAAAAATAAATTTCTTGCATATAGTTGGGTTTCCGTTGTTTTTAACCCAATTTTGCAAATGAAATTGGGCATGCTTACAAGCGCTTTTTAGGATTTCAAATGAGGCCCTTTTAAAATGACGTCTTTTCGGTATTTAAATTAAAACTACATTTTTTGGATGAATCTTTTCGGTTTTAATTGTACGCTATTTGCGAAAATGAAAAATTACTTTCCATAAAAGATCTATTGATAAAATTTTAAAAAAAAATATAAATATAGTAAAAAGTAAGAAAAATTTACATCGTTACGGTTCAGTTTGGAAAAATTTCCCCGGGGAAATTAACAGCATTTCATAACTTTATACTACAGCAATAAATTTCTTTTTAAGCCGAAATTGTGATGGAGATCATCCATACCAACCATTCGTACTTTGCTCAAGGGGAAGTAAATATTTTAAAATTTTTTTTGGGACCAAACAAAATGAGTTATTTCATTTAAATTTTTGCTCGTAAAACAGTTTCTTATACTCATTTTTGGTTTTTAGTTTAAATTTTTATTTAAAAATTGCTTGTTTTTTTCCCCTACTGTTTAAAAATATTTAAATGGGGAAATTTGCTGATAACCCCTATTTATTACAACTGTTTTTTCAAAACATTAATCTACATCTCTCAAGTTCATTTCATTTGTGTTTAATATTTCGTCCAGCTCTAAATAACATGCGGTGGGTTAATAATTATTGAGGATCAATGCACCATTGTAATGTGAATTAAACAGCTACACAAAAAAGAGGATACAGTCAAAAGTCCAAGCCCGCAAGCCACAAAAAGGGGGTGCAATAGTGCTTTCTGTTGCAAAAACAAATAAACGCTTAATTCGGTAATTCCCAAGTTTCGTTATTTGCTCTTCGGGGTGATAAAAAATTGTTTTTTATTCATATTTTAAATTGCGAGTGCGATGTCATTTGACACTTAGTTTTTAATATAGAATTTTATTGCAGTCAGCCTATTTTTACATTGTGCACTGAGTTACGCAAACAACGGTACCGTGCTGGCATGAATTGCATGCTTTCGTTCCTCCGATAAATGAAAGCCTGTGCAGTTTTTATGCATTGATTTTTGCTTAGAGTATAAAAACCAACAAAAATTAGATTATTATGAAGAATTTTATCATTCAAAGGATTATATGAAGAGAAATCTGGAATTTTTAACTGCACAAAATAAAACTTTACTTGTTGAAAAGCACTGACAAAATTGTTATAAATTCATTACATAAGGGGGCGGAACAGTCTATTATATTTTAGAGACTGTCGTAAAATAAATTCTTGTTTAAAATGTTAAAATTCTTGCTTTATACAGTGCTAGGGGGCGTGGGCAGAAACTTGCAACAGAACCCGTTTATTAATAAGCGTCAATCAAACCGAACCTGCAACGATTTTAATTTTTTCGTTTTGGGCTTTCAAACTTCTTAAGGGATTCCGTTTTCTCCATTGTACTTAAAATTGCCATTTTTTTTTCCTTTCGATAAAGTCAGTTGTCACCGGCTCATTTTGATAGCCATGTCCTTTTTTTTATTTTACAGTATTATATACGACGTATCGAATATTGTTTGTTGGGTATCTTTAAATCCAGTGGGCTAAAATGACTTCTAAGTCAGATCGTGATCACTGACAATTTCTGATATGATATCGTGTAAATCCTAGGGGAGAAAGCCTTTTATAAAAAAACACGTCGGAACTTTGACTAAGGGAAAATTGAAATGGTAAATCGTTTTTTTTTTTAGAATGAAGACACTGTATTAACTTTTGGATCTATATTGTGCAGGAAAATGTATTTGGGGCTCTGTCTCAGTCAATTTGGAAATGTAGATTGCTAGAAATAGCGACAAGAAATGGTCGGGGTCAACATAGAAAACTGAAAAAAATTGTAGAAAACATCAGAGCTAAAGGCAGTACGGCGAACATGATCGAAATACTGTGGAGAAATGAATCAGAGAGTATATTTACAAAATTCATGATGCACGATGAAATAGTTATTGTATTTAACACCAACTGTACCAGTTTACCAAAAATTTTCACGCCACCAAATAAGTAAATGTTTGGCCTTTTATTTTTAAGTGCAATAACCGTCGCAGAGGAAGATGTTAAGCATGAATTCAAACTTATGTGTGTGGGAGTGTGAACCCCTTGATCTTTGTTGCTTCAATAGCGCAATTTTTTTTTGACATCTTCATGTACGTAGAACTAGCGAGGTGATACGGGCATCAAATAACATAAAAAAAGGGAATGGCTTTCATTTTAGGGCGTTTTTTTTTTTTGTTTTCTTGTTTCACTTTTTTCTGGAGGGGTAAATTACCCCTTTTTGGGGAAACCCGGGGGTTTTTCCCAAATAAGTATCACGTCAAAAAAACCAACAACAACAAAAAAAAAATAAGAAGCAAAAACGTTTTTTTAAAAAAAAGGGTTTTAATAAAATGTTTAGTAATTTTTCAATTTCTTTTTATAGGGATTCATGGGAAAAAAATTTTATATTTTACTGCACCCCCCCTGAGATACCCTGTAAAAAACTGTTACATTAACTTCTAACTATGTAATATACATTGTTAACTATTGTAAATATTCACCGTTAACGTATGAAGATATTTCACGAACAGCTTGTATAGATATACTATTGTTGATATTCACTGTCAACTTATGTATAATTCACTGGTAATAATTCAAATTTTCACTGTTTTCACTGTTTTGCAGATCTAAACTTGATATTGACATTTTACAAATGTATATATTCAATGCCAGATTGTGTATGTATTCACTGTTACTTGTGTAAATATTCACTTTACACAGTTAAAGGTTATCGCTGTTAAATATTGTAATAGCTACTGTAAAATTAATGTTTCTATGTTGAGGAAGGCGTCAATGTTAAAAGATTCCATTTTCGAATTCGAGGTTCAAGATGTTTATTTTTGTAGATTTTCCCTGCCGACGGTGTTCTACTATTGTAGGTATTCTCTTGTAGATGTTCTTTGTTTGAGATGACAACTGCTTAGAAATTAACTGTTGTAGTTGTTCACTGTTGTAGTTGTTCACTGTTGTAGATGTTCACTGTTGTAGATGTTCATTGTTGGAAATTTTCACTGTTATATATGTTCACTGTTGAAGATGTTCATTGTTAAAGATGTGCACTGCTGTTGTAGTTCACTGATGAAGTAGTTCACTGTTGCAGATGTTTTCATTTGCAGATTTTAATTGTTGTAGATGCTTAGTTTTGTTCAGTATTGAAATATTCACTGATGAAGATGTTCACTATTGAAATGTTTACTGATGAAGATGTTTACTGCTTTAGGTGTTCACTGTTTTAAATGTTCTCTAACCTGATATAAAAACTTACAATAAGGCTTGTGCTATTTGGAAAGATAAACCTATTCTTTTCTTAACCAATAAATTAAAGCGGATTTCATAACAGTTTAATGTCATAGAAGCTATTAAATTAACCAAAATGTTTCTTTTAAGCATTTTGGAAAAGATGAGATGTATTGCTAAATGATAAAAATGCCTTTTTGGTTTTCTCATTACAATATACAATTAAAAGCAATGGTCTTTAAATAATATCATGATATATACGCGTTAAATAATTTTGAAATTAGATAACAAATAACTTAAAATTAATTGGTATGAAATTGTCGTTATATCGAAACGCATTTAATATTCTATTGCTTATGCTATTTCTTAATTTAAGTAAGCTTTGTGGTTCTTGCATGGAGGTCATTTAAATTGGCTAATATAATACATGGTATGTGAGTGTGTGTTTTTCAATATGGATACTTCGATTGTTAAGCAAATTTTGCAGATGTATAAAAATAAATCAAATACATCTTATTATTGTCCGTGTTTTTGCGTTTTACATTAGTCCGGGATACATCTCTTTGATATACTGCAAGCGTGGGGTTGATGGTTAGTTTAAAAGATCTGTGCAATCGGCAGCGATCAAACATTTGGTATTTCGCAGTATCCAAAGCATTACAGGAGGTACAATGATTGTTACGCTGTTTGCACTCTTGGTAATATAAACATTTTTTTTTATTTATTACATTACATTTTATTTTATTTCATTTACGTTAAAATTATTATTCAATGTTATTATTGCTTTAGGTAGAACATACGTTATGTACATTTATACAATTAGAGCATTGTTTGCAGAATTGCATAAGGATATAATTTTGATGTTTGAAAAAAAATAGTTGGACAAAATAAATGCATTTCTAATTTTTATCAATTGACATATTTGGAGTATTGTACATTACATTCGTGCACTTCTTGCTTGCTCTAATATGGTTTATTTTGCTTGATATTGCGATTAAGTACTGATTCATCTTATATGTATACCTATTGAAATTATTCAGTCGTTTTGGATCCGCACTTGCACTGTTTTTTATTTCAAAAACCCGTTGTGTCAGGTTTTTACGAAAAATTTGGCATAAAAATTGATGGAATTTGAAAAAAATGTATAAAACGTTTATACAAATTTATAATCAACACACTTTTAAATATAAGTATGATCATGCAACACAAACAGTCATCATCAATTAAAAATTTTCTTTTACATGTTAAAAATTGATTTTTTATGATAAAAAAATAAGAAATAAATTTTTGTTTTTTATTTCAAAATATATTTTTTTTTATATAAATTTCTTTATTTTATTTATATGGGGTGGGATGGAGGAGGAATGGTTTTTGCGTCGCACCAACACTGTTTAAGGTCAATGGCAATTTTTCTAGCTTAACTGGAAGTTGAACACCTCGGGGTGCCCTCCGTGCTTTTATTTCAGCGCGAAACAGGCACCTTACTAAGCTTTGACGTTTTCTTTGGCCAACTTAAATAGCTTTCTCACATAAAAAAGTATGTCATAAATCTACCGGGACTCGAAACCTACAGGCGGTATAGGGCAAAATGGCTGTTAGTGCAACGACGTAAAGTGTCCTAAAAACCACTTATCCACGGTCGTCAAAATTATTAAATAACATGGATGCATTTTGTGAAATTACACACTCTTCTGCTATCATCTTAAGAAGATTAAAATAGAGCGATTGGAAAATGTTCAAGGCAATTTTACAAATATATATCAGTCAGAGCTATAGAATTTTTTGAACAAAATTCAAATCTATTTATTCTTTTATTTTAATATCAAATCCGTATCCGTATTTTTGCAACTTTTATATTTTTCTTTACTCTGTTTTCAGGGCTATTTGCCTCGTTTGCGAGCTGTGACACTACCAACATAGAAGACGTGATTTCCCCGCAGAATCATCAAAGCAGTAAGTATTTTTGTCAAGTCATTCACACATGGGCTTTCACTCTTGCCAGTAAAATGATTGCCAATTAATAAGACTGACGACTGCATTACAATATAAAATCAAGATTGATTTTCCATCCCCATATTTATTTTGCCTTAACTCTGCTTTATTCTAAAATGACTTGTATAGCTTCCATTTTGGAACTGTCCATTATCATCTAGATAAAAAATTTGATTTTAGACAGTGTGAGCTTGGCCAGACTGGCTCGGTTCTATATTACAAAGGGTAGTCACTTTCGTTTCTACTAGTGAAAGGGTTTTTACACTTAGGAATGTGTTTGACCTGATTAGAATCTAAAAACGAATTCCGAAAAGGATTAAGTTTCTTTACAGTTTTTGCTATATTTTGCGCGAAAGCGTTTAGATTTAAATAAGGAAGACACACTCTTAAGCGGCAGGCGATACAGAAACTTACACGAGCACAAATATTGTTCTGTGACTCACAAGCATATAAATTACGGAACCGAACTATCTATACTGTATAGATTATCGATTTGATTGAAGGCCAGTTTATATTATTTTTTGTGCGAATTACAAACGTATGAATAACGTATGTAATTTGATATTGTCGCAGGTCTCTTTTAAGCATTACACAGCTGAATTAATTAATGACTAAAATTAACACACGTGATCATATACACAATACTCAAGGCCCTGTCGCACTAGACTGCACTTTCACTGCGTTTCCACTTAACAAAGCCATGAAAGCGCCGCGATATCGCAATAAAGGCCCTTCACACTAGACTACTCTTTCACTGCGTTTGCCCGGCGTTGTTTAATTTAACAAAGCGCCGCAAAATACGTGATATTTTTCATGACATGGAGACTTCACGGCGTCTTCATGGCGTCCCCAAGGCGATCATGGTAATGCTACGAAGCTTTCACGGTGTTTATTGGCGATTGTCTGCGTTCGGATTGCGCTTCTATTGCGTTCTCTGCCCTTCCACTGCGCATATACGGCACTCACACGAAGCTTCCTCTCACTCTGCGCTGAAATTGTAAAGTTCCGTAACAACGCAGTGCAAAAGTATAAGCGCGGTAGAGACGCCGCACAATCTCCGTACAAGGGCCGTGGACAACCATCGCGTTCATTCAGCGTTCCTTTTTTGCGCTTTCATGGTTGTCCTGTTGCGTTTTAGGAGATGCTACTGAGTTGCTAGGACGTTCTTACTGCGAACCATTGCGCTCTTATCAGAACGCCGAGTGGCGGCGTTTGTTTTGAGCATGCTCAAAAGCGCGCCGTCGGTCGGCGTTCTATGCGATGCCACTACGATGCTGCAGCGATGTTAGCGATCTTACTGCGCTAATCTCGGGGTTCTTTGGACGCAGAGAGAACGCCGCATTAGTGTGACAAGGGTTTAAGTTAGATTGATCATCAAATTGATCGTCTGCTGCTAACTGAGATTCATAAATAAATTACTGATAATAACGCGTGCCTCCTCATTTGAAACTGTAGTACATTATATAAATCAGCCAGAAAGATTTTACATCAAAACCACATAATGCATAACAATCTAATGTAAAATAAGAATTTGAATAATAAACTTCGACTCATGCAAACACATCTGTACAATGACATATGAAAAAAATAAAAATCTGTAACTGAAAAATCCACATGAAAAAGAAAATTGTTAACTGCATTGTGTTATTATTTTTTTCATATGTTTTTTATTTTATTTATTAAAGCAAACAATCGTTCATCTTTTTTTTTATCTATCTTTTTCTTTTCTGAATCATACTATTTGTTATTATTGCCATCCCATGCTAATTTTTAAACTTTCTTTTTATAATGACATTTACATATAATGATAAGACCGCCCCAAGTTTCAAATGATAAAATAATTTAAAACAAAAAACAAAAAAAGAACACGAATACTATTACAGCTAACGTAATGAAAACTGTTACAGCTTACGTAATGAAAGCTCATTTACTTTTTATCTGCCGGGGAAGTCGCGACGGAGTTTGTAAATAGCATTGCAAAAATATCTGCAGACGCATTTGTTTTCTTAATTTACAATACCGCCTTTGAAAAACGATGTAGGACAATCCTTGCACTACTTAAATGGAATTAAAGATATGTAATATGATGCCACATTAAAAGGCAATAAGATATGAATACCTGTGTCACACTGTGTAAATTTCACTTATAAACAAATTTAGGATTAGGATTGTTAGCATTCTAAAATAATAATAAAAAAGGATAAAATTTCGACTTTTTTATTTTTATTATCATAGCAAACTCGGATAATTAAACTAGTTATATACTTTATCCTCAATATAATATATTTAAAATATAACGTTGCATAGTTACCTTTTCGCTGAAATTTCAACATGAGTCTTATGTTGTTCTTTCATAACCTCTGATCCTATTTCAAAGTTACATTTCGTTTAGTTTAACGTTTAGTGCACACGCTTTCTACATGTATTACTTAGGGACCAAACGCCACTTTTCATGGAATGACACGTGTGTCACATTTAAAGTTCTATAAAACCGCTGTATGAGCACATCTGCTGATGTATTTATATTAAAAATGTCACCATTTTATGTTGAAATGTTGAATTCTGATTTAACCGGTGCTAAGGGGCGTGTACGATAGTTTGTACTTGAGAGTTCCTCCAATGAACAGGCTTAATCAATGCGAGCCTCAATATTTTCAATAGTGCCGTTTGGGAACTTGCTTAAATGATTATTATTTTCTCTACTCTATCATGATAAACCTTAGCTTCCTTTCCTGGAAAAGGGAGATACTAGCCTTTGAAACCAGTTTAGAGCCAGGCCGATCTGTGCAGTCTGATCAGGCTCTTCACAGCTAGCAGACTAAACTTTCATCTTGATATACCCAAAATTATAAAATGAAAACAAGACATATTCACCCAAGATATCCTGCAGATGGCTAACGATAAACACATTTATCTGACTTTTGGTGATTTTCCACAAAAACTTAAACGTTTATATTAAGCTATTTTGGTCAGGTGTCTTTTTTTCATTTTTCCCAAGACACAAGTTCAAAATTAAGAAATGTTAACAAGTTTTTAAATGTAAAATTTTCTTAGATAATGAGACAATCAGATATGCGGTTTCAGTGTGCAAAAACAAATGTCTTTGTAAATTTTCTCACTAAAATTACGAGGCTCTTCACTTTATTATAATATTATAAACAGTTAAGGCAGAGAGTAAATCATCGGCCGTGTTTTGTCTTTTTCCCACGCAGATTGCTAAAAGACACGTTATATTACCACAGCTTACACGCAATAGGGCAAAACTATATTGGAAATTTTGGATATAACACAGTTTTGGAAATACTGATTTTGATACTTTCGAGATCATTAAGACATTCAATCATGAATATATTTTTTTCTTTTCAGGACGTATTGCGTTTGAAGCTCACATGGACAACAAACTGGCATTTTTCCCTTTTAACACGCCACTTATTTTTCCCGTGTGTACATTGAACGAGGGCAGGGGTTATAATACAAATACTGGTAAATTCACAGCACCAGTAAGTGGTGTCTACACGTTTAATGCACATGCATGTCACAAACCTGGCACCCACATGGTGTTTGCCATCATGAAGGGCAGTGTTCAATTAGCAGTTTCGACTACCTATGAGAATATCGCCTCTGGATGTGGTTCTGTCAACACAATCGTGAGACTTAGGAGTGGAGAAGTTGTTAATGTAGTGGCAAAATGGACAGCCAGTCACTTATGGGCAAACCTTCACCGTTGGAATTCTTTTACTGGCTACCTTGTATACGCTTAGTTTAACTTTTAGTCTGTTGTTTAAAGAAGTGCTCCATTTATTTTTTATGTCTAGAAGCATTGGTACACAAAGCAGTTTGTAATAAGTAGAACACAAATTTTGAATACTCTTATCCAAAAACCGCTTGTAGTGATGAATATATAAGATAAACTTTACACTTATCTCCATTACATGAATACATTATCAAATGTGAATAAACGAATGTTTATAAGTGTATATTCTTGCAAGAAAATATATATTTCGACGACATCTCCATTTTAGACCTATAATTATGATGCAATTAATGGTCAAAATATTCATTTATATTCAACTTTATAAAAGCTTAGACTGTTAATGTTTCAACATAATTCGCATCTAAAGTATAACAAATATGAAAGAGAGAAAAAATCAATAATAGTTATTTTATAGTTCAATACATGTTGTTTTTTTGTCATTGCTGTTTTGAGTTTTTATTATCTTGAAATGTTTATTTTATAATTGTATTGACAGATTTAACTACTTAGAAGCCCAATTAACAGATTTCGTTGCAATTCCACGTTGTTGTGTTTTTTGTTTTGTTTTTTTACATCACATACATCTTATATATACCGGATACCAAGGGCCGTGTCTTTGACAAGACTTTTAAAGACTCCATGTCGTACGTAAAGAAACCGTTCCATTTTATAAGAGTCACTCAAGCTATGAAAGAAGATGCGAATGTTTTGTTGACATTTCTTGAAATTATAAAGGATGTTGTTTTAATGATTGGGTAGATGACTTGTCATTTAGAAGGATATATAGACGCTTCAGGCAACAACAACAACAACAACAAAAACTAACACATTTCGCCATGGGGCATTCTTTCAGGGCAACTGGGCCAGATTCTACCTTATGTAACTTAGAATAAGGCTCTATTATACTGGCAGTTTATACTTAAAGTAAAAATTTAAAAAAAAGAAAGGTGTCCAATAATAATATATAAGTGGAGATCATTCATAAAACAGTCTTAAAAAATAACCGTGTTATGATACTCTTTCATACGCAATTTCATATTCTTGCTTATTCAAGTAAACCATATATCAGAATATAAAAGTACAATATATGCCTTTGTCTATTAAGGCATAATGACGACTACGTGGTTCGCTTTAATTCATTCTACGCCTTATAATGACAGTTACTTCTATGTCAGTGTTAATTACCAACATAAATGTTTAGTATTAATAACGATGACCCATGATTAAGAATTTAAAATGTTAAGAAATATAGAAAACTAAAAGTACTGAGTAAAGATGATGTCACTTAGTTTTTTATAACAGCATTTTTGATAACAGCATTTTCATAATTTTATACTAGCATCTAATTAGTTTTAGTTTGTGCCATAACGGGGTGACGCATCATTTACCAACCATATCGTTCAGATATATGCTCAATGAAACATGTATGTAAGTTTTAATTTTCCATTGTTCAGTGTCCATTTTTAACTATTTCACTATTAAAAAATATTGCGTATATAAACAATAAAATTTTATATATAAATGGCGGCATTCCGATTTTAAGTTTTGTTGAAATATTCATACAAAAGTATTACATAATTATGTATTCTATGCCACATCCTGTTGACCCTGTATATTTCAATGTATTTATAGTTGATAATCCCTATCTATTACAACTATTTTCAAAACATTCATCTGCACATGTCAAGTTGTTTCTTTATGTTAAATATTTTCAACAGCGTTTTATAACATTAGGTGTTGATAATAGTAGACCTCTGTTTACGTATATTATGAGCTGCAGAAGCAAGAGCCTGAGTCCACGACAAATAGGTGCATAAGTACTTTTGTTGCAAAAGCTGAAAACCCTAATTCTGTAATTTCGCAGTTTCTTTATTTTTTCTCATCGGATAAAATTGCTCTGTCATACATTCGAATGCGAGTGTGATGTCATTTGACACCGATGTTTTGATTATAGAATAACATTGCAGACAGCTATTTTTTATATGGCGCATACAACGGTTGGAGCTTGTGTCAGTGCATGCTTTCATCTCGTGTGAAGTTTTTATGCATTAATATTTGTTAAGTATGCAGAAAAAAGTTCTGTTTAAGAAGGAACTATTTTAAATGTTTAAAAAAAGACATCCGGCATTCCTTTATCAACAAATATAATTTGCTCCTTAAAACTACTGACAAGCTTTTTTATTAAATCTGTACAAAAGGCTTGTTTATAGTTATTATACATAAATAACTTTTTCATGTGTCAAGCTTTTTATGTAGGACAAGCAAGATAATTATATAGATGATTTTTTTTGAAAAGTCATTAATATAGGGTTAACATAGCTACCTGGAGACAAAGCGACATAACGTTGACCAAATTATGTACCTTTTCAACAGTGATTTTTAGCATGAATATTTGTTTACCCACACCATTTTTTTACATGGTAGGTATTGTAAAATTGGATACTGTCTTGTCAAAGGCATAAATTTGTGACAGATTTTGACAAAATTCAACCCCCTTTTTTAGCTTAAAAATTTTGTTTAGTTTTCGTATCAGTCAACTGCTTCCTTTTACCCTTTGAATTATTACAATACATCTTATTCGGCCAGTTTTTTCTTCTTTTTGACATAATCAGTGTTTCTTTTTTCACCCGACTTATTAAATAGCAATGCTCCTTTCCACGTATATGTATCATGTAGTTTACCTTGGCTTTAATGACTTTGTTATCTACAAAGTCAGATCTCAAGTATGATAATTCTGATATGATATCTTAGAAATACCAAAAGGAGAGGAGACTTATATGAAATACCCTGTCAGAATTTGACGAGGAAAATGCTTCTTGGTAATCGTTTTGTTAGAATCAAAGACTATTTGCCAATTTTGAGAGATGCGTTATAGCGGAAAAATGTCTTCCGGACTAAGGCTCTGTCTCGGTAAGATAGAAATTGTGAGCAAAAATGAGTCGGGCGCAACGTAAAACTAAAAAGTTCCTGAAAACAGCAGAGGTACCGCGTGAATGTGATGGGGTTTGGGCAAATTTATCAGGTAGTATGATATTATTAAATGAAGATATACTATAAATTATTCATTGTTTCAAACACCAACCGTATCCGGGTTACCTTTATGCACATAGTCGTGCATTTTCCACCACAAATAGCAATACGCTTGGCCTATATGTATAAGTGGAATAATCTTGCAGTTGCAGAATATTAAATGTCTAGGTGCATGGTGCATGCACTTTAAATGAGTTCTTCCTTGACTTCAAAAGACGCGCTTTGTTTTCTTTTTATTTTCATAAATATGCGTGGGATTCGAGCGGATCCGGGTGGTTCAAATTACATAAAACTACATTTTTAACTGACGCGCCGTTTTATTTGTTTATCTTATATTTTTCGTTTTTTATATTCTGGATGGGTAAATAGACTTTAAAACTTTAAAATCCGGGTTGATAAAATAGCAGGTATAACACAAAACAATGTTTAGAATAGTTTAAATAATCTGCTCAAGTTATAATACTTGTCAAAAACCGCGTTCTTAAATAATATTTTAAAAGAAAATCAAGATGGAGATGCTCACTTTTGTAGATAATTTTTCTGTTGTAGATGTTAATTGTTTACCATAATCGTAGATTTTCACTTTTAAAAATTGTACATTTTCACTCTTAATTAATGTATTTTTTCATTATTTACTGTCGTTGTTGTTCCCTATCAACTATTGTAGACATTCATTGTTAACTTTTGTAGATTTTTAATGTTAACTATTGTTTGTATTGACTGTTCATTTGTTTAAATATTTTACATTACATTTGCTGATATTCACCGTCAATTACCGTAGATGTTTACTGTTAATTATTGTGGCTTTCACTGTTAACTAGTGTATATATTCACTGTCAATAATTGTAGATATTCATTATTTACTATGATATAATTGTTGAAAATCACTGTTTACTTGTGTAGATGTTCATAGATATTCACTATGAACTGTTATAGATATTGACTGTTAATTTTTGTACATTTTAAATGTTAACTAGTGTAGGTATTCACTGTTCATTGAACTTCACTGTTAATTTTTGTAGATGTTCCCTGTTAACTATCATAGATATTTACTTTTAACTGTGGTAGATATTTATTGTTAGGTGTTGTACATATTATTTGTTTACCTGTGTGAACCGTTGTAGAATAGTGTATATATCCACTGCTACCTTTTGTAAACATTTACCGTTCACTATTGCATATATTCACAAAATGCGTATATAGATATTCATTGTTAGCTGTTGCTGATATTCACTGTCAACTACTGTAACAATTTTAGATTTTCACTGTTAACTGTTATAGATATTCCTTTTGAGCTAGAGTAGGTATTCACTATTAACAATTGTACATATTCAATACAAGCTAATGTATTTATTCACGGGTACAAATTGTAGATATTCCCTTGTGCTGTTTACCAAGTTCATTGCTGGTGAGATATTCACAAACTCAGATCGTCTCTTGTAGATATTCACTGCTGATGATGTTCGCTTTTATAGATGTTCATTTTTAAAGTTGTCACTGTTATGGATAGTGAATATTGCATGTAAAACTTGTGCATTAATTGTAGATATTCCCTTTAGCTGTTTACCAAGCTCATTGCTGGTTAGATATCACAATCTCAGATCTTCTCTTATAGATATTCACTGCTAATGATGTTCGATTGTGTAGATGAACTCTTGTATAGATGTTCATTTTTGAAGTTGCCTCTGTTATGGATAGTCGTCAATGCTGCATGTGTTCACTGCTAAAGTTGTTGAATGTAGATATTCACTGCTGTTATATTTAACTTTGAAGATATTGTACATGTTATATGCTGAAGATGTTCACGATTCAAGTTGTTCGCTGTTGAAGATTGTCAATGTTGTTGATGGTCAATGTTGAAGTTGATCATTGTTAATGATTGTCAATGCTACACAACATGTTCATTGTCAGTAATAGTCAATGTTTCGATCTTCATTGTCGGTGATGGTCAATGTTGCACATGTTCATTGTTTTTGATGGTCAATGAAAGACATGTTCATTGTTGGTGATGGTCAATATTGTAAGTGTTTACTGTTGGTGATGGCCATTGCCGTATATGCTCATAGTTGGTGATGGTCAATATTGTAATTTTTCAATGTTATTGTTTGTCAATATTGCAAATGTTCATTGTTTGGGATGGTCAATGTCGCAGAAGTTCATTGTTGGTGATGGTTAATGTTGCAAATTGTCATTGTTGGTTATGGTCAATGTTGCTGTCGTAGATTTGCATTATATTTTCCTTCGCTATTTTACACGTAAATGGCGCATTCTTTACCGTTGACGTCAGTGACATCATCATCATTATTATTGTTGTTGTTTGATATATTCAACTTTTAGTTAACTTAGAAAATAAGACACAAGTTTGCAGTACTCTATCAACTAATGTACGATATTGGTGCCGTAACTCACACATGAACCTACATAACTGAAGAATACATTAGCTTAAACTCTAGAATATGTTACGGAAACTATCATCAAATGAACTCACAGACGGACTACGAGTGAAATAGCTAGGAATTATGCAGGAATTAGTCAAATAAGAGCAGCCGATATGCAGGAAAACTCTACTGTTGAAGGTAGAGGGACCGTAAGCTGTTTTAACGTTTAACTTCAAGGAGGAAATATTGACTTTGCTGGTTCACAGGACAGTCTAGGTACTAGTACCAATCATTCAGTTATGTCGTCTAGTTCAAAGTATCATAGGTTCCTAAACATTCATAAAAATATTTTAATGGTGATATTTTAAGCCGGCAGACATTTTGGGACTCGTTTGAGTCAACTATTAATAAAAAATTATCTTGACTGATGTGCAAAGAGTTTCATATTTCAATAAGCAGCTTGATGGTGAAGCGAATCGGACTATTGATTGCTTTGCAATACAAATATAAACTATTAACGTTCGAACAAACTGTTGAAAGAGAGATATGGCCAACAACATAAACTAATACATCCAACAATACAAGCATTGCTTCAACTCCAAACCCCTAAAAATATTTTACATTATTTTCGTAAATCCTATGATAAATGGAGAGATTATACTTGGAAAAGCGCCAACTGCAATTAAGTCAAAAATTGGATACCTTCTGTCTTGACCGATAAATGCAAGTAAAATTATCAGAGGAACACTCGATATATCGTATCTGAAGCTAATTGTATAAACGATGGTTAAAATATACCACGGTAAGTTAATTACCGCGGTAAATATTGTGGTTAGGTAACCGCGCGATTATTCCATTTGTATAAACACATTAACCACAAGGTAACCTAACCACGCAAAACTGAAAATTTAAACATGGTAATATTACCAATGGTGCACCAGGATGTGACGTAATTTTCGCGTACAAACGTCAGGCATTGTGTCTTTTGCTGCATTTATTGCTAGATAATGATGAAATGGAACAAGAATGATCTAATTGGCGTCTAGAAAATCTTGGAATTACACAAAATGATACAGACCTGAAATTGTTCAAGAGAAAAAAATCCAGACATTCCACATTAGCCTATTAAAAAGTTTCTCAACTATGCCTATAAGAATTGCATACGATTGTAGCAGCCGTAAAATTTGGCATATACTATGACAAGTAATCGTTTGAACCAAACTCAAACCCAAGACATTTTGAAGCAAAAGAACGAGTGGGATGTACCACTTCCAGAAGATTTTCAACAGTCATAGTAAACCCTAGCGAACGACTTAAACACTGTTGCCACAATCAAATTCCCGAGAAGATATTCATCTGAAACACCCAGAACCGGAAGTTACAGTCGGATAACCTTGCGCGTCGTCGTAGATGCAAGCACTTAATCGTACGGGGCAACTCTGCCCAAACTTGAACTCATTGCGGCGCTGATTTGAGCTAGACTTAGCGAAATGTTTGCAGACAACATTTCCTACAGCAGACAAAACACTGTATTCCGACAGTCAAATTGTACTTTTTTGTCATCTACGAAAAAAAACACTGAAGATATTCATGGAAAATCGCGTAAAAAAGATACATGTATATGACATTAAGACCCAATACACATGGAAATATTGTCCGACAAGCAAACAAGCAAAAATCCAGCCGGTTTACTGTCAAGAAGTATAACCGCTGAAAAAATCATAAAGAACAATCTTTGAATGAAGGGACCGATATGATTATGTGACAAGACAAGATGGCCAATATGGGATGCCTCAAACAGGTTACACGATCTAACGATAATCAAAGAGCAAGCTACCAGAAGTCAACAAGATAGACAAGTAAACGATACCTGAAAATTAACATCACGTATCCTGTAATAACATACAAAATATTATCAACATTGAGAAATTCATTAATCTTGGTCGACTTCTTCGCGTTACAGCTTATACTCGCCAATTAATTCAAAAATGCAAGGTCGACCAACCCAGATGAAACTTCGACCAATTCTCTTGTAATGAACTTCAGCAAGCAGAAGAGCGGTGGGTACATTATTGTTAACCCGACATATATAGTACTGAGATACTACAGTAATTAGAGAGAAACCAATTGACAAATCAATTTCGACTATTTCTTGAGGAGACCGGATGTATCCGTTGCGGCGGAAGACTTAACAACACATCCGTGTATGACGTCACAAAGTATCCGTACCTTCTACCAAAAATGTCTAGTCTTACTAAGTTGATGGTCCGCAATGCGCATGAGTTACTTGGTCATAATGGTTTGAAGCTACAGTTTCTAATATCAGACAGTCATTTTAGATACCAGCGATACAACAATGCGTGCATCTCAGAATCCCAAAATATGTCACATGTCATAAAGTGCACGGAATTCCATGCAAGACACCCGATGTTCCCCATTGCCGTATTTTAAAATAATAGAAGCCCCGCCTTTCACCATAACCAGAGTACATTATATGTTAAACAAAAACATCTGGAGCAGAGAAAAAAACATACATATGTTACTTTACTTGTGCTGTTACCAGAGCCGTTTATCTTGAAGTAGTCACAAGTTTGTCAGCAGACTGTTTCCGTCGCAACCTAGTCTCATAGTTTCAGAAACAGTTTACGCATTCCAGACGGCGTCTGCTTATTTGAAAAGCATGTTAGTGTCCCAGATTGTCAGAGAGTCCTTAGCAAATACCGGCATTGACTGGAAATTTATACCTGAAGAGACCCATCGTACGGCGGTTGGTGGAAGCGACTGATAGAGCAACTCACAAGAAAATCCTTTGACGTTCTATGGTTGATTTAGAGACATTACAAACAATTGTAACCGAAATATATTTCTTGTTGAAAAATCGACCACTGACGTTCGTTCCATCAAGTCTCGAAGAACCTGAGACATTGACCACAACACACCTGTGATATAGTCGCAAAATGAGATCCTTAACTTACTGCGTCTGTGGATTCCATCAACTGTAGAACGCAACATTATCTCTAAACGGGTAAGGAACGAGTTCCGGATTATTGAACAGTTTTTGACACGTTGGAGAACGTAGTATCTCACAACACTCCGTGAGCGACATACTAAACCCAAAAATTGTCAAACTGTCTTTACCGGGGAAGTAGTGCAGGTCCATGAAAATTCGCCAAGTATTGTTGAAAGCTGGCGGTAGTCGATAACCTTATTACCCTGAGCGACGGCTTGGTTCGAGCAGCTAGAAATAGTGTTAGTAAAAAACTGTACGCTGCCAGACCGATTTTAAAACTTTATCCACTGGAAGTAATAGACAATGGAGACCATGATTGGCAAAATGTTTCGAAAGAAAGACTTCTATTGTGAAAAATAAATTTATAGAGATTTAGAAAAGTTCACTGAAAAAGTTCAAGATTACACTTTCAACGTTGTAGTACTTTATCAACTAATATAGAACAGTTGCAAATGTTCAATGTTGGTGATAGTGAATGTTGTAAATGTTCATTGTTGGTGATGGTCAATGTTGCATATGTTTATTGTTGCTGATGGCAAATGTTCTACATGTTCATTATTGGTGATGGTCAATCGACAATGTTGCAAATGTTTATTGTTGCTAATGGCAAATGTTCTACATGTTCATTGTTGATGATGGTCAATGTTGCAAATGTTCATTGTTAGTGTTTGTCAATGTTACAAATGATGTAAATGGTGGTTTATGTTGCAGATGTTCATTGTTGATGATGGTCAGTGTTGCAAGTGGTCAATGTTGTTAGTGTTCACTGTCGAAGGTGTTCACAATTGTAGGTATTTTTTAAAGATGCTTACTGTTAAAGATGTGAATTTGTGTATAGGTTCACTTTCGATAATGTTCACTATTAGAAATGTTAATTGCTAAATAAGTTAACTGCCGAAGATGTTAACTGTTTGCGATGTTAGTAAATAAGATGTTTTTCCTCAATAATAAACATGCCTTTTGATATTCTCATTGGAATAAACATTTTAATCAATCGTCTAGAATAACATCACTTATATATACGCATTTAATAACTTTGATAGTAACTGGGATATAACTTAATTGTTATAAAATTGTCGTTATATCGAAACGCATTTGGTATTTTATTGCTTAATTATGTATGCAGGCTTGTTTTCTTGCACGGAGTTTATTTAACTTTGGCCGATATAGTGCATCATATGTGTGTTATTTAATATGGAGACTACTATTGTTCAGCAAATTTGGCAGATGCATAAAAAATGAATATTCACATATATCGTTTTACTATCCGGCACTATAGAAATTGGTAATAATGTCTGAACAATTTATATAATTTTGCATAATACATAGATCCGGGATGGATCTTTTTGATATACTGAAAGCGTGGGATGAATGGTAAGTTTAAAAGACCTGTGCGAGCGGCAGCGTTCAAACATTTGGTATTTCGCAGTATCCAAAGCATTACATGAGGAACTATGATCGTTACGCTGTTTGCAGTCTTGGTAAATAGAACATTTAATTTCTTACTTTTCATTTTATTTTATTTAAGTTATCATTATAATTCAATGGTATTAAGCTTTAGGTAGACCAAAGTTACGTTATATACATGTATATTCATGCTATTAGTTTGTTTGCATAAAGCAATACCGATTTTATTTTTATTTTTGAAAGCTGTTTTGAAAAGAAGAATATGTGGACAAAATAACTGTGTTCTTAAATTTTTATCATTTGACGTGTTTAAGGGTTCGTTTATTAAGTTCGTGGACTTGCTCTAACAACATAGTTCATTGATGAATTACTTTGCTTGATATTGCGATTAAGTAGTGATTAATCTAATGTGCACACCTTCTGAAATTAGTAATGTATTTTTTGTCACAAATAATTGGAATAGAACCACTTTTTAGATATACCTTTGTGTATTACTAGAAGTTTAAAGGAAGTAGAAAGGAGACTGATCGTTAAATTTTTAATATCTTTAAACCGGCCGTAGCGCTTTTCATTATTTCATAATCTGCTGTTGTTTCGATGTATATTTACATGTTAATCAGTAAAGTCTGATTATTCTAATCACCAATATTGATTCTCTTGTCAGAGAACTCGCATGAACATCTATAATCAAAATTTTGAAAAATTTTCTAACGGTCATTGCAGTAATTTAAGATCAAATAATTAATAACATGCCATGAAACTATCTAACCCTTGCAGGACTCGAACCAACATTGTTGTAGGGCAAATGACTGTAAGTCAACGAGCTTAAGCAATCATTCACGGACGCCACTATAATTATATACTTAGCTATAATGATAAGAAGATAAAAATTGAGCGATTGTACAATGTTTGAAATTCTACTGGTATAATAATTATGTCACCTGTTAGAGCTTAAGAATTTTAATACACAATTTAAATCTATCTATTTTTTGATTTTATTTATCAATTATCTATCCGTATTTTAGTGACTTACGTATTTTCGTGATCTGTTTTCAGGGGCTATTTGCCTCGTTTGCGAGCTGTGACATTACCATAGAAGACGTGGTTGCCCGCAGAATCAAAAGCAGTAAGTATTTTGTTAAGTCATAAGCACAAGAGCTTTCACACTTGTTGCCAGTAAAATGATTGCCAACTAATAAAGCTGAAGACTGCAACTCATAATGAAATCAATATTGATTTTCCATCACATTTTCTTTACCTTGACTCTGCTATATTCTAAAATTGACATGTCCATCTTCCATTTTGGAACTGTTCATTATCATCTTTAAAAATATGAAGATGAAAATTCGATTTTGAGCTTGGTCAGAGTGACCCAGTCCTATATTGATCGCAAAGGGTAGTCACTTACGTTTCAAGTAGTGTAAAGGTTCTACATGTTAGAATGTGTCTGACATGGTTTGAATTTAAAGCGAAAGCCATAAAAAGTCCCACTGGTAAGATTACCTACACTTAATTCTTCGTTTAAAATGCAAATGAGCAACAACAATGTTCTGATGAATCAAAAGCATTTTTTGACAAGATAGGAAGTATGCTGGTACCTGTCATATTCGAAAACAAGCCTGACATGACAACTTTAAACTTCATCAATTTATTAACTTTATTATTGTGATAACCATATAAATCACGGTTATCGAATGAATTATCTATAAGGTAAACTTATCGATCACATTAAAGCCATTTTATTTTATGTTTAAATTTGTAGTTTTTGAGTGGATTACATACATAAGAATCAATAAAATATTTGCTAATTTCGGAGGTCTGTTTGTAGGAAGGCGCGGCGGAGTTTATAAATAGCATTCATGCAAAACTATCCGCAGACGCAGTTGCGTTTCTTTTATTAATATACAATAACGCTTTTTAAAAAACGATGTAGGACAATCCTTGCGCTACTTAAATGCAATAAACAACCTAATGAAAAGATAAGTAATACGATGCCACATTATAGGGCAGTGAAGTTATCAATGACTGTGTCACGCTGTCTAAATTTGCTTTAATCAAATAACGTTATATAAAGTTATAGGATTAGACTTTAGTGCATTCTAAAAATGATAAATGGTAATATTTCGACTTTTTCGATTTTTTCAACCATGGCAAATACTTATTAAAATAGCATTTGAATCCTTTTCGGATATACATAACTCTCCAGATAATTTATTCAAAATTTAATGTTGTAAAAGTATCTAATCGCTGAAATAAATTTCAAATATATAAGTCTCATGTTGAATTTTCATAAGTGTTTAAACCTTAGTTGCCTAGCAACGGAAGTAACTAGCCTTTGCCACCTGTATAGAGCCAGGCCAGTCTTTACATTCGCGAGGTCTGATCAGGTAGACTAAATTTTCATCATGTGATATTTTAGGGGGTAAAATTGAAAAGTGTAACCGATTGTTTGATCACACAGGTATGCGGTTTCAAGACACTTAAACTATTTTTTTTCTCAAGGAAAATGTCTATTTTAAAGTTTAGAATGACAGACTCTAGCCTATATCCCGAAAAACTAACGAAATATTAAAAAGAATTATGGCCGATAGTAAATTTCAATACTTTATTGTTACATAGTTAGCAAACTTCACGTGCTATACGCGCCATATACATGCAATAAAGCAAAACTATATAGCAAATATTAGATAGTTTTTGAAACACTGATGTTGATACTTGCGATAAAATTGTAGCATTCAATTATGAAAACCTTTTTTTCTCTTCAGGACGTATTGCGTTTGAGGCACACTTGAGAGATAAACAAGCATTTATTCCCTTAAACAGGCCACTGATTTTTCCCGTGTGTACAGTGAACGAGGGCAATGGCTATAATGTGAAGACTGGTGCATTCACAGCACCTGTAGCTGGTCTCTACACGTTCAATGCTCATCTCTGTAACAAACCTGGCACCCACATGGTGTTTGCCATCGTGAAGGGCAGCGATCAATTAGCAGTTTCGACTACCTATGAGAATACCGGCTCTGGATGTGGTTTTGTCAACACCATCGTTAGGCTTAAGAGGGGAGATGTTGTTAGGGTAGTGGCAAAATGGACCGGCAGCCACTTATGGGCAAATCTTCACCGTTGGAATTCATTTACTGGCTACTTTGTATACCCTTAGTTTAAGCTTTAATTAATTGTTTAAAGAAGTGTTCTGTGGCTTTAATGCATAAAAACATTCAAATTAAAATTAGTTTGTAATCAGTAAAACAAAACAATTTAATACACTTTATTTAAAGAAAGGCTTGGAGTGTTAAATTCCAAAGATACATTTATATTTATATCATGGATATTTTATAGAATTAGAGAACAAAAGAAATGTATACAATTATATATTCATGAAAGATTTAGAAAATTTATAGATTGAAAACATTTAAATTTTAAATAAAAAAAAACATATGCAATAAGTTTACAAAAAATACATTTATATTTTTACTATTTTCAGTTTTTCTTATCTCGAAGTGTCTTTTTTACTATTGTACTGATATAATTACTCAGAAACCCAATAAACAGATTTCGTTACAATTCATGATTTTTATATATTTTTGTAAATGCATTACATAAATCGAACAAATACGGGATACACCATATATCCCTCATACCTTCTACACATTACAAATACCATATGCGTCACATATTGCTCATCACTCACAGACATTACACGCGTGTAAACCATATAAATTAAATTACATAAACTAAATAAATCAGATACACCACATACATTAAATATCCATCATACCTAAAGATTTATCACTTATACAAACACCCAATAACTCTAATACATCACATAAATCGCATACCGGTATATCACATATCTAACACATGTCACATACACCACATTTCTCATAAATGTCACAGATATCCCACACACCACATATTTATCATAAACATTGTTAATGCAAGACTTTACAGATAACAATCGGTAGCGTGTAAGGAACTCTGTTAACATGACATAAATAAATATTGTCGTGCATGTCAATATACAATACAGTAATCGCCTTGTCCGTCAGTTCTTAATCGCATCCGGTGTCACATAATTTAGTGACTTTCATAGAAAACTGACATCTTATTTATAATACTATAGAAAAGATGATCACTTTTCTATAAAATACCAAAATACTTATAACTGCTAAAAAAAAACCCTCTATTAGAAACCTAAAAGTATTGACCCCCATACAATTTTCTAAACACACAATGAGACCTAGTAATACAATTACCCATTTTTTTAAAAAGATGTTAATGTACATGTAATAACTCAGTGATTATTCGTATTGTTATCTGTAAAATTATTGACTCAGGTCAGTATTCTTGCGAGTAAAGACTCCTTTCTGATAAAAACTAATACACCCCGTTTCATTCCAGAGGAGACCCCCCCCCCCCAATGAAGTAATTTGGTGCTTCTCTAGACCTTTTTACGACGTGGTCCGTTGCTATGAAAAATCGAACGGAAGTAGTATTTCCCCGCTTATGCACAATCGGCGTAGGGCAAAAAGCATAGTCTAACCAGGGTCTTTCAAATATTTGAAAGACCCTAAGCTGATCTAACATAGAAATATAGAAGAAGTTAATAGACAATTCCGAGATAGTTAAAGGTAAAAGGTAGAAAATTATTTAAAATAGCTTTAAACAAAAACAGAAAAGATTCCTTTTTAGTTTTGTTGCCAAGATTGCCATTAAAAGGCATTAAAAGGGAAATTGTTTAAGAATTCCCCGGCCCGCTTACGGTCACGGACCTGACATTGAGATTGTTTTAAAGAAAATGTGAAATTATATCTTTTATTCAAATGAGAGTCAACTAAATTTTTGTTGTAATTTGTTACTATTTTTTAATGCAAGTCACATTTATTGTCACTTCACAAATCAATAAACATTGATGAGTTACGTATCTATAAAAGCAACTTAAATTACGATTTTCATAATTGTACGTGATTTACTATGTCATGGCTCAAAAATATCCCGGTTGAATTATATTTATACAATATCTAGCTGGGAACAAGCATACATGGTCGCGTGTCAATCTGTTTAACACTTACCACCTGGGCAATCCAAAGGAAGTGTACAATACACATTGTGTAATATTATGTAATACAGGGGTTATAAGATTTAATCTTTAACACTATGCTGTTTACATTTAATTTACGAATGAAAAAGTCGTCTAATGATTCCTTAAACAGACGTCTTTTGTATGCTTCTTTTGACCATTGGATTATTAGTCCTGCATATTTATTATATCTGTTATAAACATCATTTGACATTTTAAGTACTTACCGCTTTAAGTCATCCCAAAATTATTGTTTTCTGGTTGATATAACATGGAATCATGACTATTTAAGCCTTAAAGTATCATACACTGTTGTCGATTTTATTGCGCTTTTGCCCTACGCAGAATACGCATGTGCGAAATGCAACATTGGTTGCTATGGAAGAATCGTATTGTAAAAAGGTCTATAAGAAATTCAACATACACAGTCAATCTATATGAACAAACAAAATGCGCCTTTATATTTTCACTGATTTCACTGATTAAGAGAATATTTAATGCATACCATAATTATTATGCGGAACAGGGGTGAATTAATTAAAACGAACACATTTTTGCCTTTAGCATATGTGACCAATACCTGCATGTGGGAAAATATGTCTTCTGTGCAAAGTCAAAATTTGGGGCCATAGATGTTAGCTACATATATATAGTGAATACTAGAACAATCTTCTTGGACTTTGAGTTATATATTTGTTATGCAATATTTCTATTTAGTAGATTTTTACCAACATTGTCCAAAATATGTTCACGAAATCTGACACAGCGTCGGGGGTGTTGGAGTTTACTAAAATATACATAGTAAAATCTAATAAAAAAATCTCCTCGGACACCTCAAGGACAAGAGCTTAAATTCTTCAGCATGAAACATTTTCTAGTAGGTTTCTACCAAGATTATTCAAATAATGGTTCAACTCAATTAGCCATTTTCGAGCGAGATCATTTGATTACCCCAAAATCGTCCACTAGAGTTTAAACTCTTCATCCTTATTCACCCTTAGTTCAGTTTTTTTTGTCCTGCTAGGGTCATGCATTTCTTCTGTGTTTATATATTATATAACATAAAGTAACATACCTAGTAGTAGTAACTATTACCAGAACATTTAAAACATATGAGAAAGTGAGATATAGTTATGGTGTTTCGATATGACAAAATATTTGAATTAGCTTTCGAGTCTTTCTTTCCTTAAATGTTAAATATTTGCCACTGTACATAAATGAAACACACTATCAGAAGACAGTACAACGAGTTTGATCATAGTTTACCTTGTTCGATGCCAGCATTTCTAATATTATGAAACATTTGGCAATCTTTTCTATTGTTTTTGAGTTTACACTGGACTGTTTCTATGCGTACCGTGTTCCATTTCAAGACTTAGAAGACCCCCTTATTTTCGTTATCATGTGTCGTTTTATTTTCTTTCAAACCTACGTGATGTTGAATATTCGGCCATTTAAAGCGTTGCTTGAAAGGACTCCAATGACGTTTTTAGTTTGACTATACGAAATATATAATGCTGTCCTTCTCATCATGACACTGGCGCCCGCGTCCTCTTTCAGATTTCAGATTAAAGTGTTTGTGCATTAAATATTTTTCTATATTACTTTTTATTTCTTAAGGTATCAACTTCAAACGCAAATACATGTTTGTTTCTATAATCAAGCATATCATATGTGACAAAGGGCACAACTCTATAAACAATATTTTCACAATTATCTTCCCTTTAACTTTTCTATAAAAATATTACTTTTTACTCTTACTTCTTTATTTTGTAAGGGATCAACAACAAACTTCAAATATATGTTTTTATAATCAACTTCATCATATGTGACAAAGTTTATAATTCGAGACGCAATATTTTCAGTATAATCCCCTTTGAACTATAATTTTCCATGACATGTTATGTGACAAGATTCTTAACTCAATCAATAACGTTTCAAGAATTATCTCCCCATGAACTTAAAATTTCCTTTAATAAATAGTGTTTTTAACTGTAACTTCTAGATTTCAAACTGAATTTACTTAAAACTTCACATATATGCTCCTTATCATCAACCATATCATATGAAAGGGTTCATACATCTAGCATGACTTTTTTCAGTTTATTACCCTATCTTCATTATTTAATTAAAATGGATTTACTTCATGCTATAAGTGTACGTTTGATATAATTTCCGTATCATATGTTTATAACTCTAGCGTGAATATTTCCATAATGATCTCCCCTTAAACTTGGAATTTTCCTTATTTTCTGTAACTTAATTATTTCTTCAGGGATTTAATTCGAACTTCAAAAATATGTTTGATATCATTTTCTACATCATATGTATTAAGATTTATAAGTCTAAAATTATCTCCATTATGAAAACAATTGTAATATACATTTTTTAACAATTATTTTTGTGACTATAAATATTTTCTTCTTTAGATCTAAGATATCCGTTCTTTGTCCTAATTCACCTCATGCATGACAAGGAACCCTAACATCTTTATTTCAAGAGTTGTTTCTTCTTTGAAATTATAATCTGATATATATTTGTGTCCCTTTTATATAATTTTGGACATTTAAGTGCTTTCCCAATACAAATACAGATATATTGTCATCATAATTATTTTTTTATACTTCTGTTTTCCTTTATTGCGTCCAATATTTAATAAGTCGAGAATGTTGTCTCCTCTGACAGGTCATGGTTTTTTACAGGACTGGACTTGAACAGCCTTTCGAGATGAATATTCTATATGATGTACGTATACGCCAATAACTCGTGTGCAAAATTTCTGATCATTCGCTCTTTCCGTCATTCCAAAATAGTTTTAATTGTGAAAAAATGACCCAAAATCGAAAAGCGTAGCGATGCTTTTCACTAAATCGGGCTAAGAATACCAACAAAGTAAGACTTTAAATTTATCTCTTGCATATTTTGTTTTTGTTTTAAGTCTCTCAGCTGATTTATCTAAGAAATTTAATTTTAGTTTCTTAGGCTTCTGGACCTCAGCGTAGTTCCTTTAGTACTTTTATTTGAAACAAAATAGTACAAGTTAACTGCATAAATAATAACATATTTAATGTGACATCCTTGTTATCCTTGCCATTAAGCCACCACACAACTAACTTGTGATTACATCTTGAGTGTAAACATCGAAGCAAGGTGATACATTTGTCATAACGCCGGTGTCAGCACCATTTGTAAGATTATATAAACACAATATATCTTAACAATAAAATAATATTTACTTTTAGAAAATGATAAAAAAAACCTTTATGAAGTAGATTTCTGAATATATATAATGAGTTTAAGTACATCAGTTTCATTAAAAATACATAATTATTTTAAAAAAGAGTTCTTTAACAATGTTAATTAATATATTAAGACGTGTAACCTAACATACTAAGAAAACATCTTTATATGATCATAATGCTAACATTTCTTTCAACACTTTGTATGAAAGAGATGCGTTATAAGTTAAATTTTAATCTTTACA